TAGGTGCATACATTCAAAAGAGACATAAACTCCGGGCACGCACGACAGACGCGGCGTAATTATTTACGTATCAAACATCAAATCACATCAAAAAATGGAATCCTATAATAAACCTCCCTCAAAGAAATAAAATAAAATAAAATATCCTCAACACTCGCAAAAGTTACTATCGTACATGCGAAGGACGGTTGTCTTTCCCCTCCCCCCTCTTCAGTAAAGTTATTTACTCATCCTTCGTTCTAGAGGGAAATCGCAGAAATAACAGACACACGATAATACCCGTAACCCTCCCCCTTTCTCTATTCCCCAAATAGAAGCGCATTCCTATTATTTGAATCATCGGCTCTTTTTTTTTTCTTTTTTCATGTGTTTTTCTTTTTTTCTTCCTGTAGGCTTCCCACAGCCTCTTAGTACCAATGTTCAACCCTTTTCTTCTTATATGCGTGGGTGCGTGCGTCTGGCCTCTGCCTCTCTTTTTTATCAGAGCCAAATATGTGCGGCATCTCCCACCTCCTCTTTATATTTCACTTCTTATTTTTGGTGTCTTTTTGGCATCAAGGGCTATAACCCTCCCTACATTTGATGCAATACCTCCTCACCATTATTATTTTTTTTTTTTTTGCGTGTGTGTAATACACCGTTTTTTCTTGTTTTTGTTTGTTATTGCTTTTTTTGTGTTTTGCACTTCTTTCCTCATTTTTACCCTAATCATGCGTTGTGCTCTGCCGACTCACATGACGCCCACTGCTTTTTTCGGACGCTCGTGAGCGACGCTCCAAATCCCTGATAGAGTCTGTGCGGTTGATAAAGCTTTCGCGTTTTTCAAGTGGGATGTGATCTTCATTCCCGGTAGAACCAGCAGGAAACCATGGCTGCCGCACCGTGGGAACCTTGGGCACAGAAAACTGCTCGGGGCGGGATGGAGGCTTTCCGACTTTAGTTTTCCCTCCACGGGGCTCAAAGCCTGTGTCACCCTGACTCCAATCCGAGTGTGGTGTGGAGTGCGGTTGTGAGGGAACAGAAGCGGAAGCAGGGCCATTGGGAGGCGACGCACCACGGGAGCTTCTGTGCTTGTCCTCCAGAAGAGTGGTCCTTACGGCCCGGGGTGGCTTGCTGCTGGCTGCTACATCCTGACCCTCCATTTCCTCCTGCTTCTCATTGTCGTCGTGCCCTGACTTCAACACCCTTTCACTCAAATACTCCTGGGGGTACCCACCATAATAATTCGGTTCATCTCCCTCCCTAGAACGCTCATTCTGTACAGGCTCTCGTTTCCCGCTTTCTCGAGCCACTACATCCCCCGGAATATTATCTCCGGCACCAGCATTCCTCAACCCTTCCTCAGGGTGGTCGCGCTCCCTCCTTGAGTCCTCTTTCTCTTCGGGGTAGCCTCGCTCCCGTCCTTCCCTTCCGGACCGCTCCCTCCTTGAGTCCTCTTTCTCTTCGGGGTAGCCTCGCTCCCGTCCTTCCCTTCCGGACCGCTCCCTCCTTGAGTCCTCTTTCTCTTCGGGGTAGCCTCGCTCCCGTCCTTCCCTTCCGGATCGCTCCCTCCTTGAGTCCTCTTTCTCTTCGGGGTAGCCTCGCTCCCGTCCTTCCCTTCCGGATCGCTCCCTCCTTGAGTCCTCTTTCTCTTCGGGGTAGCCTCGCTCCCGTCCTTCCCTTCCGGACCGCTCCCTCCTTGAGTCCTCTTTCTCTTCGGGGTAGCCTCGCTCCCGTCCTTCCCTTCCGGATCGCTCCCTCCTTGAGTCCTCTTTCTCTTCGGGGTAGCCTCGCTCCCGTCCTTCCCTTCCGGACCGCTCCCTCCTTGAGTCCTCTTTCTCTTCGGGGTAGCCTCGCTCCCGTCCTTCCCTTCCGGATCGCTCCCTCCTTGAGTCCTCTTTCTCTTCGGGGTAGCCTCGCTCCCGTCCTTCCCTTCCGGACCGCTCCCTCCTTGAGTCCTCTTTCTCTTCGGGGTAGCCTCGATTTCGTGACCGACTTCTCGATTGCTCCTCATCTGAGTGTTTTTTGTCACCTTTATGCATGTCATCGTACTCATATCCTTCTAAGTCGTTGATATTGTCCTCATTTTCATTGTCTCTTTCATAAATATCATCGTTGCTGTACTGGTGGCTTCGAGATCCCGGAGACCTTTCGCTTCTTTCCCTTGTTGAAATACGCCGCGTCCCGTTGCCGTTCACCTTGTTAGCCTCTCCGTTTTGTATGCCTGACACTTTGGCCGCGGCGTCCTCGGTGGTGCAATGACGGTTGTACGTCACCAAAAGCTCACCCATCTGCTTCTCCTCGTCATATGGGTCGTGCATCTTCACAACAGCGTAGCCACGGTCCTGTTCCACTGCGAAGGTGCCACTGCTGACTCTTTGATCCTCATCAATAACGTACACAGTAATTTCAGATGGATCTCCATCCAAGTCGATAAAACGGACTTCCTGGTTCCAGTTCATGACGTTTGTGAGACCATCTTCGCCCACCTCCCTGGGAGCAACAAATGTCGAGCCCTCCATATCGCCGGAAAACACAGACACCTGCGCCCGGATGAGCGGTCTTCCTTCGCAGTTGGTAAGGTTCAAACCACGTACGACGGTTACAAAGAGGGACCCACTGGTTGGCGGCATCTCCTTGTCCTTCAAGGCTTCATGCTCCAGCTTGCTCTCTTCGGCCAATTGGAGCTCTTCCAATTTCCTTTGCACATCTGCATGTGGTGTGAAGCACCACTCAAGTGCAATCTCACCCCACAGAACGTCCTCCTTTACCTTTGATTCAACAAGCAAAACAGCAGAGCCTTTGCGGTATAACTCCCCAAAATCAAGTGGAACAGCACCAACAACCAGTAGCTCCTCATTTTCCTCGCCTTCCTCGTCGCTTTTCGGAACGCAGACCAGCACGTGACCGAGTCTCTTTTCTGTAATGAGTTGCATGATCTGCGATGGTGGTTCGGGGAGATAATTAAAACCTTCTTTGGTGTAATACGGCGAAGTTGACATGTTTGCCACGCCACTTGGTTGGTACTGGGTGGATGCGGAGCAGTTATCGTCTGTGTCACGCAGAACGCAAAGAACACCTCCCGTAAAGGGCGTTGTTCCATTGTCTGTGTACTGGAAGATGCGGTGAACGACAAAGACGCAGTCAACAGGACTCTCAAGATTCTGTTTACCATCGGTGGGCTCAGTCTCCTGTCCGTCATACTTCACGTACCACGAAACGACAATGGAGCCCAGAGGAGTCTCCTTCATGCGACCATAACCACGGTGCATCTCACCCTCTCTGCAAACTGGTAACACATCCTCATCACCACGAGCACGATTGCGCAATGCGTATGGCGGCACAACAATACCGCCCAAGATATGGTCCTGATCGGCAGGAAGTTCATCATCAATGACAAGCACCTCCAGTGGTTCCTCTTCATTGGGATAAGGAAACTCAAAAAGTTCCTCCCACGTACAAATAGTGCCAGTACCACGAGGCACCTTCGCTGTTTGTCCCTCAAAAGCACCACAGCGCACAAGAATGGATGTCGGATCATGTGGATCAGCCTGAAGATTCTTCCCATGATGAACAGTTACAATGAGCCGCGTCTTGTTTGCCTCCTGCCGCAACTTCCGCAGCTCATCCAAGGTCATCGGTGGTGGAGGCACGACCGGCTGGTTTAGTTCATCGTCTTCGGGGTCATGATGAATATTAATGCTGCGCGGTCGAGGTGCGGCAGTGCTGATGGGTTTCGCCCGCTCGTCAAATATGTCGAGTTGCATGATCCGACGTCGCTCCAACTCCTTCTCCTCCTTTGCAGTGCGCAGCAGATGATCACGTTCATGGCTGGGATTTATGGCGCTGCAGCAGGGGCACACGTACACCTGCGGCATTTGATCATATGATCCAAGAGGTGGGTAGCCCTCACGCCGAATAAGTGAAGTCGCGGTGTCATCCTCATGCGGAAGAGGTTCTCCAAAAATAGACATGATTTCTTTTTGTTGCTGCTTTTATTGTTCTTTTTTGTTTTGTTTTGTTTTGTTTTTGTTTTTTTGGTGTTGCTGTTTTGTTGTTGTTGTTGTCTTTTGTTTGATTACTTTTTTATATCTCGTATATTTATTTTTTTTTTTTCCTTCTAGTGCTGTGTTCTTCCAATTTTTTTTCCCCCCTGCGTTCCAACAAAGAAGAAGAAGAAGAAAAAAAAAAAAATGGAAAGACGGCACTCACAATCCCGTTTTCTTCTTTTATTTTTATTTTTTTTTTTTTTTTTTTTGGTTGTTGTTGGTGTTGTCTCCTCACTCCTTCCCCTGCCCCTATGTATGTATATATATATGTACTCCTGTCTGCCTTCCCTCTGTGTGTGTTGGGGGGAAGGGCGTTTGTTTTTATATTGTTGGTTTTTTGTTTTGTTTTTCTCTTGTTTTGCTGCGCGTCCCTTCTATTCCTTTTCAAATTCTATAATCGCTTTATTTGCTTTAGTAATCCTTCCCTCGCCGCCGCGTACCTGAAGCAATTGAATGATGGAAAACAGATATGCTGCGGCGGGTGAAGAAAAAAAAAGAAGAAAAAAAAAAACACAAGAGAAGTGAAACACGTGTCATGGCAACTACGGCCATCTAGGGATCGTTTGACGTTCAACAAAACGGGAAGGGCACAAAAGCCAATCACACCGCACTTCGCTGCCTTCACAATATGTAACATAAGGATTTATATATACATATATTTAATTGGGCTTGTATGTATGCTTATAAAATCTAATCTTCTTGGCTCTCCCCCTCTTGTGTTCATTTATGCCCAACAAACACTATACACAACATACACGCACACACGCACGCAACGCGTTGCCTTTATTTTTTATTTTCTTCTCTCTCTCTCTCTCTCTCTCCATCCCTCATTTCCTTCTTTCGAGTGTGTGTTTCTGTGTATGCAATGTAAAGGTGGCTTTTCAAGAGTGTGTATACATGAGAAAAATGAAGTGGTCTGACGAAGGAAGTGTTCATATGTTTGCAATACGGGAACACATTGAACGGTCGGCCTGCAGCATACAAAGTAGTGAAAAAAACAGTATCTCCAAAATAAGTGTAACAGAGAGAGAGAGAGAAAAGGAGAAAGAAAGAGAAAGTGTTGTGTATGTAAATATACATGCGTATACTCATACACAATTTTTTCTTCTTCCTCCCTCGCTTGGTCTCCCTCCCCAGTTATGTGGGGAATGAAGGAGAAGGAGTGTAGAGATATCCACCTTTGCTGCGCAGCAGACTAACTTCCGCTTGCAGGGCGTCAATCTCCTCCTGCTGTGCGGCAATGAGAAACTTGAGATTGCGTCGGTCCTCCGCCGTGGCGACGTTCGAGCCGTCATACATTCGGCTCACGACCTTCTGCGTGGCCTGCGACAGCGACCGCTCCACTTCCTGCCGGTCGTCTTCCTGGTCACCGAGGTCGTGTAGGAGGTGGGTGTTGTGCACAAGTCGACTCTGCAGAGTCTCCCGCAGTGATAAAATTTTCTTCTCGCGCTTTCGAATCTCCCGCTCCCAGGCAAGTTCCTCCATACGCAGTCGCTCCTTCAGCTCCTCCACCTCCCTGCAACCGCTGATGGATTCCAGCAGCTCCAAGTTCACAATACGCCCGAATTTCAGCAGCATCGCCTCGTATACTTTTTCCTCCCACTGAGCGTGCAACGTCTGTTTTGCCAACCGCTCGCGTTGCAGCTGCTGCAGCTTCAGCTTCATTTCTTTTAAATTTGTCCGACGTTCCCGCTTCTCCTCCGCCAATTCTTCAATCCTATGGCGCAGCTTCGCCAGCGCATGGTCAGAGACGACAACAAGATCGTCACGACAGAATGTGTCAGGGCACTTCTCATCCTCTTCGAGACACTGCACTTGACTGCAACGCAAGGCCACAAGCGTGTGCAGCATATTCAGCTGTTTACGCTTCTCGCCCTTGAAGTCTTCAATCGCCTGCAGCGACAAGGATAAGGCGTTGTTAAGTTCCTCCGACAGTTGCTTGTGTTCCTCGATACGACGCTGCATTTGTTCCTGCTTCCGTCGCCCTTCTGAGATGGCATCCACGTAGTCAAGCCGCTTCTCTCGCATCGCGAGCACCTCCTGCCAACGATCCGCCGAGCAGTTGGAAGGACACGCTTCCTCCCAGAGGTCATCCTCGTTCACATCCTCATCGTCGTCATCGCTTGTGATATCATCATCATCTGAAGCAACATCGCCAAGATGTTTCCGCCGCTTAATCTGTCGCAAAAACACCTTGGTGACATATGGCACATGCTCCGCAGGGAAGTTAGACTCGATGAAGTACTCCCCTTCGTGACGGAAGGCTTTGTTCTTCTCCTGCAACTTTTCAATCAGAGCCGCCTGCTCCCCTATCCCTTTCTGTAGTTCCACCATTTCCTTGTTCCGTTCTTCGTGGGACCGCTTTGTCTCCTCATATTGCAGCCGTAATTCACGGTCCTTTTGCCGGAACACAAGAAGAATTTGATACTCATGAAGCATCAATAAGGAACGGGCATCAGCGAGGCAGAGATCAGCGTCCACCTCAGCACGCTCCTCATACAATTTCCAAAGACGCTGGTCGAATGCATGCATCATCGAATCCACACGGCACTGGAGACGCTTGCGCTCGGCAACCAGTCGTTGTCTTTCCATCTGTTGCTCCTCCTCCTCTGCTTCTGTGAGCTTAACATTCTCTAGTTTGACACGCAGCTCGTAGTCCATGCGTTCGCGAACAGCAGCTGCCGCAAGAACGGCCGTGCTGTACCCCCGCGAGGCTTTATGGATGGATGTCACCGTCTGGTTTTTCCCCCGACGATGCCCACTTGAAGGGGTTTCAAAAATCGAAAATTGACTGGGGGTGTTTTTCTGGATCTCTCCCTTTTCAGTGGAGGTCACGGTGGTCACCAGCTCATTCTTTGCGGACGTCTGGGTTCCCGCAAGATCGGCACCAAACCCACGCTGGGCCTTCTTTGCCAAGTCCTCCCGCATTTTTTCCAACTGCCGCTGCCTTACAAAGGCGTCAAGGCCATCCCGGTCAATGGCAAAGCGTTGCTCCGGCATCTCAATCGGCAAGAGGTGAACATCCGCTGACTGAGTGTTTTCCTCCTTCATTACATCATTGATCTCCCGTATTCGATGCAGAAGAACATTAAGGGACTTGCACAATGTTGCCTTTTCATCTCTAAGGAGAAGCAGTTTCTTTGTGAACCCGCTGCGCAGATTCAGCATCATCTCCTCAAGCCCAATCAACTGACGAAGCTTCGAAACTGCCGACGGCGTCAAATGATAAAATGGATCCGTTCGCAATACGCATT